CATGCATAACCACGCCTGTCCTACCACCGACACATCTGAAGCCATCCAAGGTCAATCGCGGCCGAGGTGGGACTTCGAAGAGAACTAGTCGAGGACCAGCCCCAGCCCCAACAAGGAAAAATTTTGATGCACTTCAAAAAGAAATGGAGGCAATGCGCACCCAGATGTGCACCATGGAAGAGATGTACAACGAAATGGTGCAAGCTGCGGGTGCCGGGTCTCGATCTGAAGACCGAGCGGCGCACGACGAGGTGTGTGAACAAGGAGATCTTCACCTCGACCCAGTCGATGAAGAGCACCCTGGAGGAGATGAAGATGAGGAGTACACTCGTCAGAGGGGCAATCTCCGCGATCATCTTAACAGAAAGAAAAGCTCGTCCCTCTGAAAAGGACGATCTCCAGCCTGCTTGCACAAGAACTCCAACCAGCAGGCCGAATCTTCTTACAACCCAGTAGTTCCTGAGGGAGTGATTACAAGGGAAGAGTTCGACCAGCTTAAAAGCAAATTCGACGCTTAGGTTGAAGCCTTAAAGGCAAGGTGCGAGGTCAAATGGAGCGCATTTGATGATGGCGACTTGGGAGAGTCACCATTCACCTCGGATATCTTTGAGGCTCTCATCCCCTCAAAGTTCAAGACTCCCACTATGAAACCGTATGACGGGTCTAAGGACCCAAAAGACTATGTTGAGGTCTTCGAAGGCCTCATGGATTTTCAAGCGGCAACGGACGCCATTAAATGCCGCGCTTTCCAGATCGCGCTTACCGGCAGCGCGCGTTTGTGGTACAGAAGATTGTCGGCTAGGTCGATCTCGACCTACTCGCAGCTGAGGAAGGAATTTATTAGTCAAGTCTCTTATCGGCACTATGACACGAAAACAGCGACTCACCTCGCCACCATCAGACAAATGGAGGGTGAGACACTTAGAGAGTACGTCACGAGGTTCTAGGAGGAGYAGCTGAAGGYCGCACACTGCTTCGATGACTCGGCCATGTGTTACTTTCTCACCGGCTTGGCCGATGAGACTCTTACGGTAAAACTTGGAGAGAAGGCTCCAGCTACTTTTGCCGAGGTCCTGCAAAAAGCGAAGAAGGTTATTGATGGGCAAGAGCTCCTCCAGATCAAGACTGGCCGACTAGAAAAGAAGATCGACCAGAGGAGGTCAAAGTAAGACTGATTCCAAGTCCAAAGACAAGRGACCATCCTCCTCTAACARCCGAGCTGATTATCGAAGGTCRGATAGTAGTCACAACCGAAGCCGACCTTACGAACGTTATACTCCTACCACCATCCCCATCTCTGAAATACAAACAAACATTGAAGAGAGTGGGATGGAGAAGCTCCTCAAGCGACCGGAGAAGCTCCGAGGAGACCCAGAAAGCGTAACAAAGATAAGTATTGCCGTTTTCATCGTGATCACGGTCATAACACATCGAGTTGCTGGGAACTCAAGCGCCAGATTGAAGACCTCATTCAAGATGGCTACTTCAAAAAAATTGTGGGTAAACCGAGGTTTAACTCGGTAGAAAAGAAAGAAGAGAGGAAGCGTTCGAAGACGCCACCTCACCAAGATGACTGACCTGCGGTCATCAACACCATTTTCGGAGGCCCAAGTGGGGGCCAGTCTGGAAATAAAAGGAAGGAATTAGCTTGTGAAGCCAGGCGCGAGGTGTGCATCATTAGGGAGCAGCAACCGACTTGCTTTGTTAACTTTGATGACTCTAATCTGAAGGGGGTCCATTTGCCCCATAATGATGCACTTGTGATCGCACCTCTCATCGATCACGTCTTGGTTCGGAGAGTATTAGTAGATGGTGGTGCATCTGCCAATATTTTGTCTCTCACAATGTATCTTGCCTTGGGATGGACCAGGGCACAATTGAAGAAGAGTCCAACACCTTTGGTTGGATT